TACATAAATTAGCCTGGCACAGTGGCACACACCTGTAGTTTCAGCTACTTGGGAGACTGAGGCAGGAGAATTGCTTGAACCTGGGAGGCAGAGGTTGCAGTGAGCTGAGATCACGCCACTGCACTCCAACCTGGGTGACAGGGCAGGACTCAGTTCTCAAAAAATTAAAGTTTTTGTTTTTTTCAAAGAGCATGACCTTTGGAGTCAAGTAGCATGTGTTGGACCATGCCCACCCTGACCATACCAGCTCTGTGATCTTGAGCAAATTAAATTCCTTATGCCTGTTTCTTCCTCTGAAAAATGGAAATAATCATAGCATTGTTTTGAAAGCTAAATGAGGTGATGGATTTAAAGAACTTATTCTTTGACACATGGTAAATGCTTCATTTTAACTAGTTATTTTTCACTGTTGTTTTTTTCAGTTTGTTTTCTTTGGTGTCTGTCTTTCGTGGGAAGCATTTCTTATGTCTGACGCTTTTTATTCATGTTACAGAGCTGTTTGAAAGCTGTGTGAGTAGTGGGGCTTATAAACCAGTGAGTTTGACTCTAGGTGCCTAGGAGCCAGTTAGCTTTTATGTTATGAACCTGAATGACCCTTCAGTCTCTTCCCTGTGGTAGTTCAGTCTGCCTCCTGCAGAGTGGGTGTGGGCCTGTTTTCCCATATTCTGGAACTAAGTGGGAGGAAGGAGCTGGAGAATTGTCTGTTCATTTTGCAGACTTCATTTCAGACTCTGACTTCAGGCCACCCTTCAGCTCTGCTTTCCTCTGTGACTGGTTCCCAGGCCAGAGCCTTGTGGTCCAGTTGCTCAGGAAATGTTCTTCCTTTCTCTCAGAGTCTGCCAATTCCTTCTGAAGCGGGTAGGAACTAGAGGCTTCACCCATCTTCCTGTTGTCAGTTTATTACGTTGTCTCTACCCCTCCCACCACTCAGCTCTGCCTTCCAGAAGGTCTCCAGCTTTCTAGTATCTGTAGAGGGGAACAACTGCTCCCCATCATCTCCTTTTTAGACCCTAAGCTGTGAACTTCTCTGTCTGGTCTGCTAAGTCATTTACCCTTCCTCCACTTTCCATCTTTATGGATTGTGATTTGGGCTGATAGAGGCCATCTAGTGATATCAAAGATGTACTGGATTTTTGTTTCATGGTTTCCTTGATTTAAGTGTGATTTCTCAGAGAAGAGCAGGCAAAGATATCTTTGTTCTGCTTGCTGTCTCAGGATCTGTGTTTTTACCACTGATGCTTTTTATTTTTCTATAAATGGCATTGATTTTTTTTCTTTGCTTGTTCACCCTATTCTAGTCGGAGCTCAGCTGCATGGAAGGCAGCTGCACATGTTCGTTCCCAACTAGTGAGCTGGAGAAGGTGCTCCCCCAGACCATCCTGTATAAGTATTATGAGCGAAAAGCTGAGGAGGAGGTTGCAGCAGCCTACGCTGACGAGCTCGTCAGGTTGGTTCTCAGGCAGAGTGTGCCATCTGCCAACCCTTCCCCAATGTGAAAACTACCTGGGCACTTGCATCAGATGATGAGAATTGTATGTGTCTTCCAGGTTTCTTGGTATTTCTTGCTGAGAAATAAGATTATCAGTAATATTTTTTTAATTTTTTACACCTCAAAACCATTGAGTAACCAGTAATTCTATAAATGGAAAAATGTGCAGCTCAAACTTTCTTTTTTTTTTTGAGACAGAGTCTCATTCTGTTGCCCAGTCTGGAGTGCAGTGGTATGATCTCAGCTCACTACAACCTCTGCCTCCTAGGTGCAGACTCATGCCTCAGCCTCCCATAGCCTGGATTACAGGCATGCGCCACCACATCCGGCTAATTTTTGTATTTTTAGTAGAGGCGGTTTCACCATGTTGGCCAGGCTGGTCACAAACCCCTGACCTTGATCCGCCCACCTCAGCCTTCCTAAGTGCTGGGGCTACAGATGTGAGCCACCATGCCTGGCCTGCAGCCCAAACTTCTGTCTACATATCTTGGCACCCCCTAATCTTCTGTCCCATAGATACAATCATGGTGCCCTGGGCTAGAGGGAAATTTGTATATGCAAAGAGTTTTCATTAATGTTGGGCCTTGTTTATTGAGTGGTTTGTACTGAGTTAGGACTTTGAGTGGTGCTTATGTTTCCTGATAAAAACCAGCACAAAGAAGAGGCTCAATCTGTGTTTTAAGGAAAACTAAGGAATGTAAAAGGGATGTGAATGTCCAGCTCAAAACTCCCATCTTCATATGAACAGCCATTTGGAGCTGGAGCCAAATCAGGCTTTAATGTTTGAAGTAATGTCACTTGTGCTGTTCTGACTCTAGGTGCCCCTCCTGTAGCTTTCCTGCTCTGTTGGACAGTGATGTGAAGAGGTTCAGCTGTCCTAATCCTCGCTGCCGAAAGGTAGGGAGGCAAATTTTTTTCTAGGTGTATATTGAATTATGGTATTATGGGCTGCCCTGATGACCCAAATATCTGCTGTTTATCTGACTGCTGATGTATAAGGATTTGAGTGCTTTCCTTTTCATAAGCAAATGAAGATGTGTACTTTGTAAGTAACGGTTGACATGGTTACTGAGATGATGGGAGCCACTCGTGGCACTCCAGTTACAAAGCTGTGGATTCCTGTTTCATATCTCTTATAAGGACAGATGCTATAATGTAAAGTGGAAGTGTTTAGTTTTGTTCCCCACTGTGTCAACATTTTTCTAGCTCTTTTCGCTACCTGTGCTCAAATACCCCTACTCCCCCCCACACACACACACACCTACCCCTTTTGCCGTTTTCAATGTCCAAGCAACACTTCTTTGATGAAAGAACTGGGCATCTTAGTGGCATCTCCATCACATCTGGTAGGTTATTTATTTGACTGTTTCTTCTCATAAGAACTGACAATATCAGGTAAGAACAGAGCTATCTAGGCACATTACTGTTACAGGTCTTTCTTCCCTTTAACTTGGCTCCCACTCTGTGAACTAAGAGTGTCTTAAAATTTGTCAACTATTTAGAAGCCACTTAGAGTTTTTAGTGAATATTAACATCCACCTAGACAAATATATTTTAAGCCATTTTTCTAAAATTACATGATTAGAGTTGAACAATGCAATAGCTTTGCCTTGAGGAGAGTAAAAAAATTAACGTAGAGACTAGAAAAGGAAGAAGAAACTAAACTAATAAATCAAAGCTTTAATTTCTTTTTTTTCAGCATTAATATTTCTAGCCATTTTGTATGTTCACACCCCAGGCTGTTGCTATAACAGTTATCCCAACAGTCACTGGTATCTTTCAACTCTAAGAAAGCAGAATGCTAGGCTGTCCCTTGTATGCTTCCAGTGGGTCGGCTACTGGACTGCCTAGGGAGGTGATGCCTATGCTAGGACACAGCGGATAAGGGGGAAGTTGCCAAAGGATGGAAAGCGTAGAGGTGGAGTGGAGATGGAGAAATGTTCTCGGCCCCAGGAGTGGCAGCAGCATGGATGCTTACTGGTACTAGCAGTGTCAAGGAGGCTTATAAGCTGGGTAGGGGCAGGCTCATGCAGAGTCTTGAATGCTCTCTCCTGAGGTGGGGAGAGGTAAAATATCATAAGAGTCTACTTGGCTATCGAGTAGTCCAGGTGAGAAATGTACAGTACTGCATGGCTACTTAGGTCTTCATGATTTGCTTAGAAGGAGCTGTGAACTACATTTTCTGGTAAGGTTTCAAATAAGATGGCAGATATTTGGACAAGTGAAAGTGCTTATGTACAATTAGGAAGGCCAAAGAAGAGAAGAGACCATTATTATCTGAAGAATTTTTTTTTTTGTTTTCCCTGAAATAGGGTGTCACACTGTCACCCAGATTGGAGTATAATGGCACAGTATCAACTTACTGCAACCTCCACCTTCTGGGTTCAAGCAGTTCTCCTGCTTCAGCCTTCCAAGTAGCTGGGATCAAAGGCATGTGCCACCACACCTAGCTAATTTTTATATTTTTAGTAGAGACGAGGTTTCACCATGTTGGCCAGGCTGGTCCTGAATTCCTGACCTCAAATGATCTGCCCACCTCAGCCTCCCAAAGTGCTAGGATTACAGGCATGAGCCACCATGCCTGGCCTGAAGACATTTAAAAGCAGCCTGCATTCCTTGCCCGGTGGCTCACGCCTGTAATCCTAGCACTTTAAGAGGCTGAGGCAGGAGGCTCTCTTGAGACCAGGAGTTCAAGACCAGCCTGAGCAACATAGTGAGACTCTAGCTCTACAAAAAAAAATTTTTTAACTCAGCTGGGCATGGTGGTGTGTGCACATAGTCCTAGCTACCTGAGAGACTGAGGCAGGAGAATTGCTCGAGCCCAGGAGGTTGAGGTTGCAGTGAGCCATGATTGCGCCACTGCAGTCCAGCCTGGGTGACTGAGTAAGACCCTGTCTTTAAAAGAAAAGATTAAAAATAAAAGCCTGAGGACACACATGAGTCTGGAACAGCATCTAGTGAGTGTTATAAGAGTGTCAACTTGGAATGTTGGTGGGAGCTTGCCAGGGGCCCTTAGGATCCCAGATAGGAACACCACACGTATTGTCATTTCTATCTGTGGGAGGAATATACATGCCCCGCTGAACTTGGAGGTGGCCGTGTAGCTTCTTTTGGCCCATGAAACATGTAACTAAATAGATCACTTGCAGAAAAAGCCATAAAGGCATGTGGTGGGGAGTAATGTCAAGATGACAGACCCTCCTTTTCCCATAGAAATACCAGTTCAACAACAGTGTAAGGACCATTTCTCTCTGTGGGAAATTTAGAAACCAGTTGCATCAAAGGCTGAAGAATTTGTGATGCTGGCTCTCCTGAGTTCCTCCCCTTGGCACAGCACCATATATATGATTGGGAGGAAACTCCCAACTCCTGGCGTCTCCCTGCGAAGGGAAAAGAAGACTGGAACTTACATCTAATATTCTGACCTTTCAGGAGGGTACTCAAGGAACTGGTTTCTGTCTTGTCTCACAGGAAAGGGCACCAGTTGGGGGCCACTGAGGACAAATGGGAAGGTGGAACTAGTACATACTAACTCCTTATTGCCCTCTCCCAGCTCAGCGCAGAACAAGCAGAAGAAAATTCCCATCTCTCTGCTTCTCTCAGGAGGGAAGGAGTTGGAGCGTGAGTCCAGCATTCTAGGTTTTCTGGAGCCCGCCCAAGACTCTGGTTTCCGTCTCACTTGATGGAGCAGTGCTGGGACCTGGTATGGTCTAAGTCCCTGGGGGCTGCTGAGAGCAAGAGAAAGCTGGACAGCTTGTACTGCTCCAGAGGACCCCATGGTACAGTAGGCAGAGTCCAGTGCACCTCGAAGGCTGCTTCTTGGGTCCAGAGGAAGGGAAGAGTAGAGCATGTGTCCAGCTTTTAGGCTTCTCAAGGGGCTGCCTGAGGGACTGGCATCTGTCTCACCCAATTCAGTGCTGGCAGAACCCAACCTACTCTAGATGTCTGGGAGCTGCTGAGGCCAAAAAAAAAAAAAGCCTGAGCACTTACATTGGCCTATAGTTTAGCAAAGTCTTCTTGCACAAAGCCTATTTTAGAATAAAGTATGAGTATCTCATGTAATTTGTTGAATACTATACTGAAAGTGAAAAAGAATTATTGTATGGGTACTTGAATTACAGTTTCTACCGAATGTATATCACTTTCACACCACAGTAAACTCAAAATAATAAGTTAAAGCATTGTAAGTTGGAGACCATCTGTGTGTGCACCCAACATCAGTGCATCCAAATATGTGAAGCAAATACTGGTATCTGAAGGGGAAAATACCAACATAAAAATAGTAAGAGATTACAAAACCTCATTTACAATCATTGTTAGCATCACCAGACAGTTTAGTAAGGAAACTGCTGACTTGAACAACACTATAGGCCTAACAAACACATAAAAAACATTCTAGCCAATAGGAACAGAAAACACTTTTTCTCTTCTAGTGCACATGGAACATTTTCAGGATAGAGAATATTAAATCATAATACAAGTCTTAACAAATTTAAGATCAAAATCATATTAAGTATCTTTTCCAGCCACAAGGGAATGAACTTAAAAATCACAAACAGCAAGAAAATTCACAGGAAGAATGAACTTAGAAATCACAAACAGCAAGAAAATTCACAAAATAAGAGAATAAAGAACACTCTGTTCGGGCATGGTGGCTCCCGCCTGGAATCCCAGCACTATGGGAGGCCGAGGCGGGAGGATCACCTGAAGTCAGGAGTTCCAGACCAGCCTGGCCAACATGGGGAAACTCTATCTCTACTAAAAATACAGTAATTAGCTGGGTCTAGTTGTGTATGCCTATAATCCCAGCTACTTGGGAGGCTGAGGCAGGAGAATCACTTGAACCCAGGAAGCAGAGATTGCAGTGAGCCAAGATTGTGCCACTGCACTCCAGCCCGGGCAACACAGTGAGACTGTCTCAAATACATAGACATACACACACACACACACACACACACACACGTGAGACTGTCTCAAAGACACACACTGAAAAGTTTTTTTTCACTAAGATCAGGAACAAGGTAAGGATACCCACTTTCACCACTTGGTTGCTACATAACACTGGAAGCTCTAGCTAGAGCAATTGGCAGGAAAAAGCAAAAGCATACATATCCATGCGTTTCACAGATAACATGATCTTACACGCACAAAAAATTGTTAGAACTAATAAATTCAGCAAAGGTACAGGATACAAAATCTGCATATAAAAGCAAGTTGCATTTCTATACACTAGCAAACACTCCAAAAAAGAGAAATTTAGAAAATCTAATTTATAGTACATCTTAAAAAGAATACTTAGAAACAGCCAAGGAGTGGAGAAAGACTCACACATGGAAAATTACAAAAAATTGCTGAAATAATTAAGATATAAATAAATGGAAAGACATCCCTAAAATGCATGTGGAACCACAAAGGATCCCAAATAGCCTAAACAGTCTTGAGTAAGAAGATCAAAGCTGGAGGCCTCATGCTTCCTGACTTCAAAACATATTATAAAGCTACAGTAACAGAAACAGGCAGATATGTAGACCAATGGAACATAATACAGTCCTCAAAAGTAAATCCACACATTTATGATCAGCTGATCTTCAACAAGGGTGCAAAGAATGCACACTGGCAGAAAAGGTAGTCTCTGATTAATGGTGCTTGGTAAACCAAATACCCACATGCAAAAAAATGAAATTAGATCCTCATACCATATCTTATATGTACCATAACACAAAAATCAACTCTTTAAATGGATTAAAGACTAAAACTTAAGTGTAAGACCTGAAACTATGAAAACTAGAAGAAAACATAGGTGGAAAGCTTCATGACATTGGTCTTGGCAATGGTTTCCTGAGAATGATACCAAAAACAAGGTGACAAAAGCAAAAATTAGGCAAGTGAGACTACTA